CTACAGCCGTTTCTTGGAAGATTACGCGATCTACGCGGCGATCCTGTATGAACTGCGCGAGGTGGACTTCGCCGAGCTGAAGAAGCGCCCTGATCTGCGCCAGATCCTGGACCGTCAAGTGCCGAACTCAGTGGATACGGACCCAGTGAATCCCGATCGGACTCCGCCAGTTCCTGAAGTCGGGGTCGCCTATGAACGCTGGATCCGTGCTCATCGTGCCTTTTCGACACTGAAGATGAAGATCGCGACGACACCGATCCTGCGGCACTTCGATCGCGATCGGACTCCGGTCGTGATTGTGTATGCGAGTGACTGGGCGATCTCGGCCGCATTGACGCAGGAGCACGACCAGATCTATCATCCCGTTACCTTCGCCAGTCGAACGCTGACGTCGAATGAATTAAACTACAACGTGGTGGAGAAAGAAGTGCTGGCGCTGTTACGGAACCTGGACCTGAACTATAACATGCTGGTTGGACGATCGATCCGGGTCTTGACCCGACACTCGACGTTGGCGTGGCTGTTCCGATCACCCGGCCTTCAAGGCCGATTGGGTCAGTGGGCTGCACTCCTATCGCCCTGGACACTGGAGATCACGAAGTGCACCAAGGGAGAGGACGAGAAATTGGGGGCGATCGCCGCTAGTATTACGCCTCGATCGGATATGGACGACGCGTTGATCGCGATCGCGCCGAAGAAAGAACCCCGGCGGAAGATTCAGGCTCCGATCCCGACTGTGCGTGCGAACGAAGAGCTGCTGGTGATAAGTTTGAATGGATCTGCCCGCGTTAAGCGAGGCGGAGGCGCATACAGCGCGATCTTGTGGAAGTTACCAGAATGGAGTGTGGTGAAGGCCCGATCAGGCTATGCTGAAGGGCTGAGTGTAAACGAGGCAGAGTATCATGGTCTGTTGTTGGGTTTCGATCTCCTTGACGGCATAGATCAAGGCAGGATAGTGGTCTGCGGTGATTCCAACCTGGTGATCCGACAAGTACGGGGCGAGATCGACTGCAAAGCACCTAAGCTGACATTGGTAAAGCAAAAGGTGCTGGATCGACTACGGAACTGACCAGACCACGAGCTGTTACATGTGAAACGAGACTGGAACGGAAGTGCGGACAGCCTGGCCAGTGCAGCACTCCAACGTGAAGGGGGCGTCGTCGTCGAGGAGGATGCCGATCATGGGGATCTAGTGACACTGAACCGACTTGATGAGATCCTGGTCGCCCGGTCGGATGAGTCGATCGCCCGACTATCGCCGATGACGACCCGATCGGGCACCAGATCACGGCCGAACCCGACAGTCATGCAGGACGAGTTCGTGCGAGGGTTGAGGATCGATCGGATTCGTCGAGTGCAGGCTGAAGAAATGTGGATCGCGGGTATGAAGAAGTATCTGATGGGAGATGTGGCTGATCTGACACAGGATGAGGCTCAATCCTATGGCAACCTCGCAGTGGACTACGAGATCGACGGTGATAATCTGCTGTTCTATTGCCCACCCTCCAAGCGATCGGATGCAGATCGAGATGGACTGATGAGACTGGTAGCACCGGAGACGCTGCATCAAGACATCCTGCATCACTATCACTCCACTCTGAAAGATGGACACCAGGGGATTGGGCGTACATACCAGCGGATCCGCGATCACTTTCACTGGAGAGGTCTCTTCAGAAGTGTGCAGAAGTACGTCGGCGAATGTGTCGACTGCGAGACCGGCAAAGGACGACCCACGATCAGGGGCGAGTCGCCGGGAAACATCCAGGCGACATACCCGTTCCAGATCATAGCAATGGATCACATACCTTCGCTACCCAAGTCGTACAAGGGTATTACGGAACTGTTGATCTGGGTCGATCTGTTCACGGGATACGTGATCGTGAAGGCCAGTTCCTCCCGAACGGCGCCGACGATCGCCGAATCTTACGAAGAGTGCGTGTTCCGGCGATTTGGTGCTAGCGAGGTGATCAGGCACGATCGAGAGCCGGGATTTATGGCTGACTTCTTCCGCTCCTTGAACAAGATCCTGGGTATGCGCCAGCGAGCGACGATGGCATATCGACCTCAGGCTAACGGTACTGCAGAGCGAATGGTAAAAACGGCGACGAGAGCCCTGAAGATGTTCGTGGAGGATCTGGATCAGAGGGATTGGGATGAGAGTACGCAGAGCGATTGATCTTCGCGATCAACACGGCTCAAGATCGGGTCCGTGGAGACTCCCCTTGTTATCTGGTGCATGGATGGGACCCTCGATCGACGCTCGAGGCTACGATACCTTTGGGTAGTACCCGGACTCGGGATCGGGATCCTCGACGGTGGCGGTATCGGATCCAGAAGCACTACGATCCGGCTCGAAGTCAGGTGAATGCTCGACTACGCGAGGCGATTGCGGATCGGGCCAATCAACACAATGAAGAAGTTCGACCGCACTCGATCGAAGCTGGATCTCAGGTGTGGCTGTACCTGGATCGTGTGAAAGAGGGGTATGCCCGGAAGCTGGCTCACCTGTGGCACGGCCCGTTCAGTGTGGCGGAGAAGGTGAACGAGTACACGATGAAGCTTCAGATCGCTGGTACGGACTACCACCTATTCCCGATCGTGCATGTTTCGAAGCTGAAGTTGGTCAGGGACTTCCCCGATCGACCGCAGATCGCACCCACGGTGGACGAAGCAGATCGACTCGATTTCGACGAAGTCTTACTTCCGGAGGACAGCTGGGCCCCAGATCGAGACTCGAACGAGTACGAAGTGGAGAAGATCACGGATACGAGAACAGGTCGCAGGACTCGGTATGGCCGGACGTATCGAGAGTTCCTGGTACACTGAAAGGGTTATGACGAGCCTGACCGGGTCGACGAGGCTGATCTCAAGTGTGGAGCTTTGTTGCACCAGTTCCTTCGAGATCGCGTGAACCGGAACCGATTTGGTGCGATGCAGTCTCACGAAGAAGAGTGAGATCGGACCGCCAGGGCGAGCTGGTCGCCTTGGTGAGCCAGGTGAGTGACGGATCGACGGGGAGGCCGTTGATCGGAGGAAGGGGTTTTATATTCAGATCGGATGGTTATGGAGCAACTACAAGGCGCTACGACGACGGATCTGGGCTGATCGGGTTGGTGGCGAAAGGTGGTATGACGATGGATCTGGACTGATCGGGTTGGTGACGACGGATTGACTTGAGAGAGGTGGCCAACAGTGACGAAGATAGCAGTGGTGTTTATTGATCCGAGACTTTCATGCTACGAATATTGATCCGAGACTTTCATGCTACGAAGATGCGCGATCGGCCTCCAAAAATCGAAGATTTCACGACAGACGAGCTGACCAGCTGGACGCTGAATTCGATCATCCGAGCTGGGGGATGCTGTTGTTGCTGCATACACTCTGTATTGGGGATAAGTTCGTTGAGGAGACAAGCGATCGGCTGTTCCAGACGATCCTGGGGCGGTAGCAACCTTTGGGTCCTGCCGGTGATCGTCGGTGCCCGCCTCGATCAAGCGGAGTAATAGATTTCACGACGAAGTGTGAGCCGTTGATACTGGGATGGTGAAGTCTTGTCCGCGGTGAGCCGCCGTGGGGCCCGACTTACGGACAGGGGGCGGTTGTGGTGAAGCACCGAACAAGAATTTCCAACTGCGATGACATCAAGCGACATGGTGGCAGAACGATAGGCAGGGATCAGGCTGCGGTCGCGGATCAAGAGGGTCTATCGAGAGATCTCAAGCGATTGGATAACGTCGACGCGTAAGGCAACACATATGTCAAGACAGATTACGGGCGATCGCGCTTGGACTGCGGCGTGATTCTACGTAGACCCAAGCCCGGATCGACGACCAATCTCGCAGATCTAGGGCGGCCGAGGACAGAAGAGGACGGATCGGCAGCGCACGGCAACTCGCACAGGTCATCGATCGGGAGCCGATCGTAGATCGCCGATCGGGGTCGATCGTGGATTGGGAGCCGATCGTGGATCGCCGATCGGGGTCGATCGTGGATCGGGAGCCGATCGTGGATCGCCGATCGACCCGGATGGGAAGCATATGGGGGCGAAGCCAGGGCAAGAATCCAGTAATCGTTTGGTTGTAGGATTGGTAGATGGGATGGCAGCGGTAGAGAGAGACCAGCTAAACATAAATCAGAGCGCAATTTGCACAGAAGACCACAAGTGCCCTCAAGTCGTCAAGTCCCAGGAGCTACATTGGCCTCGGCAAGCGTTGACACTTCGGGTAGTGAACTAGCGGTACGGTTAAGACTGGATTAATACATTGGCCAGCTTGACCTACTCTAGTGATCTTTCTCTCGTGTGCAAGTCCTCGATCGACCGGATACTGCTTGGCCGGCGATCGCTGCGTCTCTCAATCGACCTCGATTCCGCTATAGGAAGCGGCAAGCAACTCAGGAAAGGAAGGAACACACCCGGAAAGGCAACTACAGGCCTTGGATCTACTCCAGGCCGACCGATCGAAGCGAAGAACCCTCGATCGGAGCGTATACTCGGACGCAGAGCGAAGACTACCGCGCTGCTCCACAAACTATCCCCGCGTCACGCCAAGACACTCGATCTTCACCAAGTGCTGCATCTTCGGAGCCCCGAGAGAGCAGATCCAGCCCGCCGACGGGTACACAAGGTGAGAACAAGTTCAGCCGATCACGGATCGTAGGGGGACCCCCTCCGTTAGTCGGTGTCCGGGCGCTGGTGGGAAGCTCGATCAGGCCTTAACCAGATTTTGGCCGATCCCGCTACACCACATGTCCGAGCGCCCTCTTCTACTTTTTTCTCTTTTTACTCTTTGGATTGGACTTTGAATTTCTTTTCGAGCGACATTTGGTCGCGACCTACTTGTGTGATTTTCGACTATTCTTCTAAGTCGAGGATGGCATGGCTAAGACAAGACGAGCAAGTGTGGCTGATAGAGAAAATTATTACTTCAGAAATTAACGAACTACTTGAGACTGCAACTATTACGACCGCCGGTAATCTCTCTCGCTCTGCACAAAGCTGCTCACTCATCGATCTCGTCGGTCTCCAGCTCCTCTTCCTCTTCGTCCGACTCGTCATCTTCCACTTCGTCGTCGTTGTCGTCGGACCTTCATCATCGTCGTTGGAGACTCCGTCTTCACCCTCGTTGGCTGCGCCTGCCTCCTCTCCCGTGGTGATGTACTCCAGCTCGCCCGACGCCTTCCTCTTTGGCTTCGCCTCGGCTTCCACCACCATCTTGGCGACGATCTCATCCGGCTCCTCGCGAAAGGTCGGGCTGCTGTCGTCGACCGTAGTCGCCGGGCCGCGTGCTGTGGGTGTTCCGTCTGGACGGTACGGTGGAATTACGCCCGCCTGACCGCCCTCCTTCGCGTTGTACGGGTTCACCTTCATCGGCCGAAACTTGCCATCGCCGAGCTGCGTCTCGACCTTGACACGCAACTCCGAGATCGTCTTGTCAGCAAGAAGAGCACGCATCGCTCCTTTCGTGAGGGACGGAACCCAGTGGTCGGGCACGGGCGTCGGCGACGTGATATCGAGCACCACGCGCGCCAGGGCCTTGCCGCTCAAACGGTGAGAATGCTTGGCCGTCGGGACGAGTGCTCCAGTCTGCACGAGCATCTCGGTCAGTGTCTGGAACCGCGGCGAGTCTACCTGGAACGGCTTCGTTGCGTCCCGGATACGCAGGCGGTACGCCTCCTTGTCCTTCTTGAACAAGTACCTCAAGCCGCGCACGGCCGGGAGCGTCGTCGCTTCTCCGGTTGGCGTAGCCTTGCCCGTCGGACCGCCCCACTACATCAACTCTCCATTGCCCGACGCTTCCAGACGCCTCAAGAGACGGAAGTAACCCCACGTCTCAATGAAGAGACTGACGAGGCGGAGACGTTCGCGCATGGCGTTCATCTTCCTCTTGCGTCGCGGCGTCAGCGCGTTCTTGTCGACGAGGGGCACATGAAACGCCCAATCGAAGCAAGCCTTGCGATAACTGTGCCAGAAGCGCCAGTGCGCTATGTAGACGTCCGGGTACGCAAGTGGATCGTAGAACAAGTGTCTGTGTTCCCAAGGGAATGCTCGCTGGTACGGCTCGAGTCCGAGCGCCCGAGTATGACGGTACACGGCCTTGATGTCGCGAATCACGTCCTTCGGCGTGTCCGCGCGCAACTCGAAGTCCAGGTGCTCGAGCCACTCGGACGACGGGCGCGACTTCTTCTTGGACTTACTGCTTGCCTGGACGGGGCTAGTCGCCGCGCGCTTCTTATCCTTGCCGCCGAAGATTGGATGCGCGGCCGCCTCCGTCACTGTCTCCTGCGTTGACGGGTCTGACAGGATCAAGACTGACCCCTTCAGAGCTTGAGCAGCGTGGTCGGGGTCCTTGAGCAGGGCTTCGGCGACGTCGTCGAGGATCTCCAGGCCTCTCGAGCCTTTGTTGACGGCGAGGATCTGGCGCATGTCGGCCCAGAACGCCACTTGTGCGAGACGCTCCTGGGTCTTCGTGCCGCCTGGCGAACTTGAGGGACCTGGTCCAAGAAGGCCTTGAACTTGCGCGCGTGGTCCTCGTTGGTGTCGCTCATGGCAACTGGGGCGTGGCGTGGCTAGAAGGGCTTCGGCTGGTTGCTGTCTGCGGGCTCCGGCGCAAAATTACGAATGACTGCTTTTCGAGAAAGGCAAGAACTTGACGGACGGCAACTTGTCTGTGATTGACCTTGAACTGACTTGGATTGATGGCTCTGCCTTGACGTATCGCCCTTGGGACGAAATTGGACGTTCCTACGGCTGACTTCCGTTCTAACTGACACGGCAAAGTGAGAAAGTACTTCTTATTCTGACTTTGATCGAGTATGGCCAACATGTATACTGCTCTCGCTCGTTACCAAGAGCGCTACGCTCCTGTCGGGCTGCTTCCTGCCTACTGTGGTGCTGGTGTGTGCTGCGTGCTCGTGTGGGTCATCTCCACGCCGCTGCGTAACGTCGGCTGGGCTTTCGGCGCGCAGGTCTGGCGCGTCGCATGCTTGAACGGCTCGCTTTGTGCCTGTGCCAATACAACGCAGTGCTGCTCAATCGCGAGGTGCGAGAGCTGCAAGGCGCTGCGTACCTATATGTTATCTGGGGTGCCCTCTTCGCGGTACCCGTGCGCGTCCTCGAAGACGAGGAAGAGCGCTATGGCGACTACGGACGGATGCTGCATAAGTGGTGGTTTGCCGCTTACTCTACGTTCTATGAGTACGGCGCACTCGGTCGCATGCTACGCGAAGGCTACGCGCGCCGCTGCTGCTCAGAGTCGCCGGCGGGCGTTCGAAGGTTTCCACGTCGCGTGGATAGTGACCAAGTTCGTGATCTCGTTGGCGTTCTTCGCGCCGATGGCGGCGTTCGACCTGCTCGAGTTTGCCCTGCTGGGAACGGTTGGCGTGGCTGTCGCGCTGGTAACGCTTAACGTTGCGAACTACGTCCTCGAGTGGACGTCGTACGGACCCCCTGTAACCGTGCTGATAGTGACTGCGGGCGTCGTGACTCACATTTGGCGTGGCTGCGACAACCAGAAGGACGCCGACGAATTCTCGCCTACAGGCATGATCATTCTCGGACTCAAGAACCTGCGTGCAAGGGCTGCTGAACGCGAACGTTCGGAGAAGGAGAGCCTGCAACAACCGCGAGGCAGTGACGCCGCCGAAGACCAAACTACCTATGCTGACGCCAGGGACGGCGTTGAAGTGACTATCGATGAAGAAGCTCCTCCTCGTGCTCCTGCGGCAATCTCTGTCGAATTCCGTGCTGCCCAGGAACGATCGACTCTCCTGCGACTCGAGCTCGCCCGCCTCCCGGAGGTCCGTCGAGGACGACGAACGTGCAGTCGGGGAGGATGTCCCGTGCCGGGGTATACCGACCCCATGCCAGGCATCGGGGCGGCAGACTCGCGTGTCGGCTGGAGTGCCGAAATGGCTACATCCTACGAGGGGTACCGATGGTGAGGTACCCGAGTTGCTGCTGGGAATGATGGCGCGATGCACGTGTGAGGTGGGACTCTTGGAAGTCCGTGGACGTCTCCATCCCCGCTCGAGGACGGGTGTCGTACGTACGAAACAACGGAATATGGTGTGAATACGGAGGGGTTGTCGTGCCCAAGGACGAAGGGTACACCTGCAACTCCATTGACCTTAGGATCGAGGGCGGCCGTGCCGACCCTCGGCTTGTAGATTCAGTCGTAAATTTTCCCTGTCTTGTGAACAACAACAACCACAAAGAAAGCTTTTGTATCAACTACAAGGTTATCTTTTGTTAAAGCTTTCACTCGTCTAAACACCCAGTCACCTTCGACCCCGTGTAGGCCCCTTCTTTCAAAACAGTCCCAGCGTACTCGACCCCTGACGGTGGAGGTATACGACACATCGAGTTTGCCAATGCGACGCCAATCTCACTGAACTGGACCCACTGGGATGCGCTGCGTGGTGCTTCTCCTACAACATCCTGCCTGAGGGTGTAGTCGACATAATCGCAGATAAATTTCCGCAGCAACGTTAGAAGGTACGGGAGCAATCGATTTGCCTGTACTCCACGATGTCCTCCGATCAAAACCACGTAATTCGACATGTCATCTAATGCGTCGCGGTCGTTGCGACTGCAATAAACTATCAGATCATCACGGCATTTCTCCACAGGCGAGAGCACGCGGGCCAGATCCGTGTCCTTTGCCGCGTTCTGGACGTCAGTCAAGTCCCCCACAAGTTGAATCAGCCAAGACGGCTTCTGGGACATCGCCTGATACGATGTGAGCACCGGCACCGCGAACGTCGTGGCTTTAGAGAATGCCACTACCACCTCCTCCACTTTACCCTCACACAGCTACGCTTGGAACCAGCTCTGGCGGACCTTTCACCTTCACTGCAGCCTCCGCGAGCTTCACATGCAGCTGCACGACTTGCTTCACGCGCTGGAGCTGCTGCTCCACGTCCTGCAGCTTGGCCGCAGGGTTCCTAGTTGTGTTTTTCGAAAATGGGTTACCCCAAAAAGTACATCCAACCACCCCAAAACGAAAAAATGTGGGTTATGGTAGAATATCATCAAATCTCCGACCGCACTTAAGATGATAGGTATACAAATCCCCAGTCAAGCGCGGTCGGAGCATAACAGTATTACCCTACCCTTCCCAAAGTGTTATGCATACACAGTCCAAGATAGATTAGTCGTCCCGTTTGCTCATTGGTCGGAGCCTTGGGATGGATGGCACGGAGCGAGCGTAGCGAGTCCCCGCCTGCGGTTTGACAGTCCGTGTGCGTAGCACGCGGCTGCAAATCCAGGACCCAGCAGTGCTCTACCTAGCAAGCGGAGGCGACGCGTGCGAGCCGCAGCGGGCTTAGGGTTCTGGCCCAGCGAGCGCAGCGAGCCTTTAGGGGTTTTAGGTTCGCGCGTAGCGCGTAGCTGTGTGATAGTTAAAGGTGACCCCCCCTCCTATCCGCATGGTTTGTGTACGAGTCGGAGAAATTGGGAGGGTCGGAGGTTGTGGGGTATGGGTTTTTTCGCATCTTGACGGATATTAACGACATATTTCAATCAAGTTACACAATCATACATGTTGGTAGAGGTAATATATAGTATGTCACAGGTTTTATGTGTGATAAACGGTCCAAACGGGCTAGGGTAAAAAAAGCCATAACCCAAACACCCCGGAGGGTGCTCTCACCCATCCGATTTCTGTCAAAAACCCGGGTTTTCCAGAACCCTGCTTGGCCGCCAGCGCCATGACATGCAAAACGCCAAGAGCTATTTTGACGACTTTGATTGGCTGGTGAGTTTATAAAAATACAGCCTCTGATACTGAATACTGGCCACCTGTGAGAATCGATAATACGCCAGTTGTCGTTAAGGGCAAGTTGCGAGTTGCCTTTCCTCGTCTCATCCTCCAAGGCAATGGCGCGGGCCGATCGTCCTCAGGTTCCTGGCCACGTCTTCTGGCGCTGCATCTGGCCCAAGCTGGAGGCCTTGGACTGGGAGAGCGGCCTCGCGAGGGACCTGGAGGTGGGCTGCCGCGTCTACAAGCCGGGCAGGAAGGCCACCCGCAAGACGGCGCAAGCAGGAGAGGACTTTGTCCTCTAGAACGACTTCGACAACGCGCTCATCGACCACGGGCTGGAGCAAGGTCTGCCGTATCCTAGCAATTCTGCTGCCTTTCAAGTGGAGAGCTGATGGCGTGTCTTGTCGTTGCAGGGCTCGTGGCAGCGGAGGACATTTGGCCGCCCCCGCCGCCGAGTATAACGGACGCTGAGGTGGAGGAGATGCTGGATGCGGTGATGGACCAATGCGTCGCAGCAGCGGAGGCCCCACCGGCAAAGAAGAAGAAGCAGGGGAGAGCTGCTACGCCCAAGGAGACGCCGACTCCGAAGACTCCAAAGCAGCAGAAGAAGAAACGGAAAGCTGCATCACTGAAGCTGGAGGCAGCGGAGGGTACGGGAGGAGCGATGCCCACACGCCATAAGACGGGAAAGAAGAAGCTGCGAGTGACAAAGTAGGAGAAAGTGCTGTCACTGTCTGCTCAAGAAGCCGCTAAACCAGAGCAGAAAGTGGAGGCTGCTGCAGTGGCAGCTGTTGGCGCGTCGGCGGTACCAAGCAGCAGTGGTGAATCACCGCCGGTGATGTGAAGATTAACGGCTTTGTGGAAAGCGGGACGCAGGTGCTGGTGGACGTGGAGCTGCGTATGCTCCAGTTTGTGGCGACTGTTATCCGCCACCGCCGTGTTTTGAGAGGCACCAATGCGGTAGGATCGACGGGTGGCGCCGCTGAGCTTGTGGCAGATATCGAAGCCTCGCAACAGGATCTTACCTACGAGGTTGAGGAACTGATTGGGTTCTTGCTGGCTCCGGGAGCACTCGACTCAAACGACACGCACAAGCTCGTTGCCCCGCGTTTCCACCCTACCAGCCGCGACCAACTAGAATTCCTGCGCGAGATCAACGTGCACATGATGCAGTTTGTAGCTTCTGTACGGCGACGTCGACGCCCATTTTCACCTCGTGGAAGTGATCAGAGCCTGTATGCTGCAGCTCATGTGCTTGAAGAATGGAATGCTCGAGCGCAAAGCATTGTCGACTTGCAGAATGATCTGACCAATGAATTGGTGGAGCTGACTGTGGGCCAGCCACAGAAGGGTTCTCACGAGGCGAAACCTCCGGTACGTGCCATTCTTTTGTCGGGGTGCCGCACTGTGACGCCTCAGCTGCAAATGCACTGACATTCGAATATGTTTCTACAGATGCAAGACGGCGATATGACGGAGACAGATGAAGAGTACGCGTGGCTAGCAACCGAAGAGATGACGGAAGAAGGAGAGGATGAAGAATGGAAGCCGTCCCCTCAGACGACACGCGGACGAAAACCCAAACCGAAAAGTAAGTGCACGTGCTGTTCAGACTAATATGGCTGTCTTACTGACGCGGCGTCGTCTTTTCTTTTTCATCAGATCTTGGCGTGAACTGAGTGTCTCGTTCTCTTTTGACGATTGCGATTTTCACGATCCGTACGACTTGATATTTATGCGTCTTAATTTTGATAAATTTTAAATTACCTTGCGGCTTCAAAGAAGCCGCAAGGTTAGTAAAGGTATAGCACCCATAGCAGGCTGTTTCGCTACTTCACGTAGTTTCCTTTTGATACCCTTACTGTCCAGACCTTCTTGGAAGCGATAAAGTATCTCAAAGGGCTCAGTAGCGACTGCAGCAGAGTCAGGCGCAATTGGGAGCAGTGAACGCCATGACCTAGCAGTTCGTGGCATCTATTCAGGCTCTATCGTTTTGCACCTGCAAAAAAATATTTGACGCTCATTTCGCTTAGAGTGGATCAGACGAGGGTTTAATAAAGTACTTCTCTGGCGCACATAAGACACAACACTTCGGTTTTCTGGACATAACTATTTACAAAACAATCGTTTGGCGACTCGCAATGCCTCAACCGAAAGCTGCGCATTTGCTCCGTTTCACGCTATGATTTTAAAAAAATCTAGCAGCAGGAAGAAAAGAGAAACAGCATTTTATCTGAAGTCCGTTTTGGCCAACATTAGGTTTTTTAGCGAGGTGCCGTCAAAAATTAGCGATGTTAGAAAATAAAATATCACCGTAATCACGAGTGACTGCTTTGCCCTTATGTTCGGTTGTCGATGTTGTAGCCTGCTGGAGACGAGTTAAAAGGGCTACAGTTTTGAGGTTTTTCTACGCGATTATCTCGACATGAGCGGACCCATTTATTTTGGCCAATAGTAAGCTGAAACAGTTGATTATACCCAATCATATGTGACATGTGGTCCACATCAAATTGAGGTTTAATGCCGAATGTTGTTTCTTAAGTGGGCCGGAGAAGTGATTAATTATTTACTAACAGCTTGGAAAAGCTGATCTTCCTACTGTCCGGCCTCAGTTCCAAGCTGGCTTTACGGAGTTTGGAGTGGTGCTAGCCAACTGGATCCAGCGGCTTGTCGACGCTAGAATTTTGTGTAGATTTATCACACAACGAATCCATGGCTCTAACCGCGAAAACTGCACCAAAAAAAACCGTCGGCCGCTTCTATTTCTCAAACGGACCAAGCGTAAGGTGAAGAAGCGAAACGAACTTCACGGTGGTATTTATTGGAAAGCCTCGAAGGTAAAGAGTTGAGCTATTTCTTGGTCATGATAGTCCGAATCGCCGCCGACATTCCCATGTGCCGACAGTCGATTTCGTCAGCATCTTCAGCACTAAGCTTACTGGTGCTTCCCTCCCTTCTTCACGCCCTGCTTGGCACCGTGGTGGTCACAGTCGTGGTCAGGCTGCTGCTTGGCCTTGTTTCCGCCCAAGTTGCGCGTCTTTTGCTGAACCGCGTTGGACGTCGAGCTCGCGCCAGTCTTCCCCTGCTTCGTCGCAGAAGCACCAGGCCCCTTCGGCTTCTTGTTGGCAGGGGGTGAAGCCACCTTGTGAGTGCTGCTGGAGGTGGTGGTGGGGCGAGGTGTCGCCCTAGTAGTCGTCGACGCCGGGGTGGCTCTGGGCGTGTTCGTCTTGGTCGGAGAAGGCGAGGCCTTGGTGATAGGAATGGTAGGGGCTGGCGTCACGTGAGCCTGGCCCAGAGCGTGAGGCGCCTGCTTGACGTCCTTCTTCGAGTCGTGGTGGAGGTCCTGGTGCGGGTGCGCGTGCTTGCCGTCGTCGTGGGGGTTGGGTCCCTGCTTGGGCGAGTCCATCGCCCGAAGAGCGCGGAACGGCACCCAGGTCCTCTCATCAGCCACAGGCTCCGAAGGGATCAGGTGGTTGGTGTCGTGGGAGTGGTGCGCGATGGGGTTGTCGTCGACGTGGACGCCGTTAGCACCGAGAGCCGCAACAGCGAGCAGAGCCATGGCTGCGAGGAGGTGGAACGAGGTCTTCATGCTTTAGGATTGGGGGGTTGGTGTTGTTCCGGTTGAGTGGATCGGAGTGGGTGGTCGAAGGCTAATTCGAAAGTGAACAGACCCGTAGGAAGAGCATTGTGTCGCATTATTTTCCTTACCGGGATACTGGATTGATTTACCTGTTATTATTGGTGATTCCGTACTTGTATTGTAACGTGGAGCAAGCGGTAATGGTACGAGATCTCACCACCTATGATGTGTGAAGTGGAATCTCGAACCGTTATACCTTATTTGGCTGATCGAGGTGACCATCACAGCATATATAGTTCTCAAGTAATTATTCCGCGCGTCTGCTTGTGAAGTACCGCTTGGAGTTAGAAGTAGGAGAAATCCTGAGGGCCTCGTGATATCCCTTCTCCACAAGTCACAGTCCACTTGTGTATAGCTTCGGATATTAAGTAGCGGTATGCGTGGCATGAGCGAGACAACGATCGAGGGTTACGAGCGGGAAGATACTGCATGTAATTTTGTTATCAAGCCCGTAGCGCTAGAAAAAAATTGAAGCTACAGACTATCCTAGTACGCGAAAAAAACACTATTTAAATAGAGTATTAAAATACGCTTCTGATACCGGGTTAAGGTTAATGGATTCGTTTTGTTACGGAAATCTCGTAGAGGTTTGTACTACATTCGTATATTCGTACATGTATTTGCTGGCATGATCAGACCAAGATCAGGTGAACTCATACGATGCCATCGAGCCGATCGAAGCCGTCGAGGTGACGACCGCGACCAAGAGGTCCCTAAGATCGTCGATGAGACTGAAGACCTGGAGGACGAAGAGGGAGCTGCCAATGTGAACCTGATCGACGACTTCGTGGTGAACGCTCGGAAGACGACTCTGAGTATGACGAAGCTCGAGAAACTTGTCACCCCGAAAGTGGCCCTGAAAGACCCCAAGCAGAGGCTGATCAGGGAGCTGTACGAGGGCAAGGTTGCCGTGAGGAAATTCGCTCAAGTGCTCAAGGCCAATCCAAACCGTGAAACGAACAGGAAGCTGCTGAGGCTGTACAAGTGGTTCTGCGAGTTCCGGATCTCCCGTGCGAAGGCTGTTCGATTTGCCCCCGTCGCTGTCGAAGCTTCGGCATAGTGACAGAAGAATTCCGAAATTTGAAGGAGATCGAAGCCTTGTATTCGTTCACGCTTTTGCAAACTTACTCTGAGCAGCGTCACTCCCAGTATTATCTTTGCATGCTACACGAGTCTAAGAAAAGTAGGGTAGCTTCTACCGAGGAAACACCAGTAGATATGGCTGGTAATAAATAAACACTCCATCGCCACTTCGAGCTGCCAAATCTCCAGGTTTGATCGCCTGTCGGAGGGTCCACTCTTCTTTTTAGGTGGCAAAGTTGACGCCAAAGATCGGATTATTTCGTGCTAGCAATGCAGCCACAATGGATCCGCGGCACCTTTACTACCAACAATAACAGTAAAAATAATCCATTCCAATAATTTCAATGAGGTATCGGCGCAGTAGATAACTTCTCACTGAAAAGCTTTTGCACTTTCCCGGTCTGTTCACTTTCGAATTAGCCTTCGACCACCCACTCCGATCCACTCAACCGGAACAACACCAACCCCCCAATCCTAAAGCATGAAGACCTCGTTCCACCTCCTCGCAGCCATGGCTCTGCTCGCTGTTGCGGCTCTCGGTGCTAACGGCGTCCACGTCGACGACAACCCCATCGCGCACCACTCCCACGACACCAACCACCTGATCCCTTCGGAGCCTGTGGCTGATGAGAGGACCTGGGTGCCGTTCCGCGCTCTTCGGGCGATGGACTCGCCCAAGCAGGGACCCAACCCCCACGACGACGGCAAGCACGCGCACCCGCACCAGGACCTCCACCACGACTCGAAGAAGGACGTCAAGCAGGCGCCTCACGCTCTGGGCCAGGCTCACGTGACGCCAGCCCCTACCATTCCTATCACCAAGGCCTCGCCTTCTCCGACCAAGACGAACACGCCCAGAGCCACCCCGGCGTCGACGACTACTAGGGCGACACCTCGCCCCACCACCACCTCCAGCAGCACTCACAAGGTGGCTTCACCCCCTGCCAACAAGAAGCCGAAGGGGCCTGGTGCTTCTGCGACGAAGCAGGGGAAGACTGGCGCGAGCTCGACGTCCAACGCGGTTCAGCAAAAGACGCGCAACTTGGGCGGAAACAAGGCCAAGCAGCAGCCTGACCACGACTGTGACCACCACGGTGCCAAGCAGGGCGTGAAGAAGGGAGGGAAGCACCAGTAAGCTTAGTGCTGAAGATGCTGACGAAATCGACTGTCGGCACATGGGAATGTCGGCGGCGATTCGGAGTATCATGACCAAGAAATAGCTCAACTCTTTACCTTCGAGGCTTTCCAATAAATACCACCGTGAAGTTCGTTTCGCTTCTTCACCTTACGCTTGGTCCGTTTGAGAAATAGAAGCGGCCGACGGTTTTTTTTGGTGCAGTTTTCGCGGTTAGAGCCATGGATCCGTTGTGTGATAAATCTACACAAAATTCTAGCGTCGACAAGCCGCTGGATCCAGTTGGCTAGCACCACTCCAAACTCCGTAAAGCCAGCTTGGAACTGAGGCCGGACAGTAGGAAGATCAGCTTTTCCAAACTGCTGGTAGATCTCGCAAGCGCGGCTGTATTGACGAAACAGCAGGCGCAACGGAGTCTCTAACTTTTCCGGCGTCATTTCCCCAATGAACTTGTTTGTGTCCTCCATGTGTTTCCGAATTTTCACGAATGGATTCGAAACATCGTCATCCCAATATTTTTGTAGTCGTTCCATCGACGCTGTAACAGTTGCGAATAGTTGGTCGTTATTTTTTGCAGCAATTTCAGCGACTTGGGCGTACTGCTTTAAAATGCCCTTCAAAACATGGTGCTCGACGCATTCACTGGCGGTGCTGCATACCGAATTCCTCAAAATCACCGTGGCTTCACCCAATCGTTTCGCAGAGACTTGGATATCTCCCAGCGACTGGTTTTGAACGATCAGTTTGTTGACGGCTATCGACTTGCACATTACCAGCCGCATTTGTCCGGCCTCTTTGGAAAATGGCTCAATCTCCTCACCCACTTCAAGCCTGTGGCTCAGCTGCGTGGCCATGTCGTAGTAGGATAGTATCGCTGAGTCAATATAAGCACCGATAGAATACCCACGTCGCTTAACCCGTTTGATTTGGGACGGAGGGGTCAGACCATCCACAACGGATCCCGGTCTTTTTGTCCCCACGTTTATTTCACCGGCGTTTTCCGCCCAAGATTGCTGAGTTCTACCACCCAGCTCTCGAACCTGCAGGCATCTCATCAACTTTGACACACACGACACATCTACAGAGAAATACAAATTAAGTGTCAGTATTCCGTATGAACTGCGCGGGGTACAGTGCAACAATTTACCTTAGTAGAGACTTTGGTAGCTTTCCGGGAAATCTTGACTGCATATCCCCCAGAACTTTGCGTAAAGAAACCAGGCGTTTTGGCAACGAAAGTGACGCCAGCAAGGCCACCTCAGTCCAACTTGACAAATAGGAGCCGATTTCAGAAAATGTCCGCCACTGCTCGTCAGCCCACGGCTCGATGTCGCTGTCTTGATGTCGAACAATGCAATACAAGCAGACATCATAAAAGCGCTCTGCCAAAGACGCAAGGTTGGCTTGCATATCATCGGCTTCAATTTCTTCTGGTGCGGTCCGCTCAATATTCCGCACATAGGCGATTGTGGTACTCAAATAGTCTTGAAAGCGCTCGATGCGGTATCGCAATAAAATTTATAGCTTTGGGAGGCAGGAGAGAGTGCTTCAGCGAACTCGGATTTTTCTGCCTTTGTGTAGATCTCTGCTAAAAGCGTGACCGCTTTCAATACCAAAGTCCGCCGAAACTCTTCAACATTCGTCGACGTAGTCACGAGGGAGACTGCCAAAACGGTGGCTTCCGAGTATGCCGAGGCAGTCTCCTCGCTTATCTGCCCTGAGCCCAAATACATGTCCACCATCCTGGCCGCTCTTTCAAAGAAATCCTTCACGGCTGTAGTCCACTTCCCCACGACAAGAGCATCTACAGCAGGTGAGATGGAACCACCCTCGTGCTGTTGTACCATCCCCTCGATCGCCTGCTTCGCCTCCTTGGCGGCAGTAAGATTCGCCTGAAGTGGGCTCCTATCGACGGACGTATCCAGTTGGTGCTCTTGTGCCATGTTTGACTCGATGACCGACTCATTATCTGGAGACTTCTCGTCATCATTACCAGTTTGAATAGGTGGGAGTGAAACATTAGCTGCTGTCTGGGCGGGGCTACTAGCAGCAGCAATTTCGGGCGGCACATCCGCTACGGCAGATGATATCTTCTTCTTCCCCTTCTTGTGCCTCCTCCTCTTGAAGGTATTTTTGATTGGAAGCAGGACCTTTGGTAAGTTCGATGTTAAAGTAACTTCGTTCGGTGGCTCAATCGCACCGCAGTCTAGCGGAGAATTTAGCTCATCCGACTTGTTCCCAACCAAAGCGCCCGAGCTTGTCTGACTTTTGTTTGAGATGATTGTCTCGTTGAAATCCCTACGACACGGATCAAACACACATGAGTGCGGCAGACATAAAACGCCAATGCTGTGACGGACTTACGTTAACAGAGACGACGGAATCCTTCGCGGAAATCGGGCGTCAAACTCTTGCAGTTTTTCACCGATAGTCTTCGCGTCAATTTTCGTAAATTTTACGTTGGCTGCGACCACAATTTCCATCCAGTCTGCCAATGTCGATCCGATTTTGCTAACTTGTTCCCACTCAGATTCTGAGCGTGATGAATCACCCACAATGTCGTGTCTAAGCAGGTAATCTTCACAATCAAACGCAAACTTTTGCATTAGGGAACGGAAGTGTGCATAGAGCTGCACTTCGTCCAGCTCAGACTGGTGCCCAACGTTCGCCACGTCGTTGAGCATATCTTCTATCGCCGTACAACTGCAGAAAACGATCAAATCGAAATGGCTCTTCTCCACAGGCGAAAGAACCTGCTCCAAATGCGTGTCCTGCACCGCCTCAAGAATGCTAAACAGCCCCTTATCGAATCGAATCAACCACTTGCGCTGCTGAAGCTCGCATCGGCGAGACACAACAAGAGCAACAGCGAGCGCCGTCGCTCCCACGAAAGCCACAGCCAGTCCTTTCTCCAACGTTCCACAGTCTACGCGCTCCAGAAACTCTTGATTCGCCTCCAGCGCGTTCTTCTCAACGACTTCTCTCCACGCTTCAATCTCGTCACACGACAACTCCGAGATGATCGTTCTCGCGTCGTTCGCAGAATTCTTCATCTCTGCTTCCGTCGCCTTCTTTGACCCGAGAATGCAATTTATTTGTCAAGGGCCCACTTGATGTAGGCGTCTCAGCAGCAGGTTCTTGTTTCGGCTTCACCACGTCTTGCTCCTCTCCAGAAACATCATCACGTAGCGTGCTACTAAAATTACCAGAATGGTCGTCTTGAACCTCCGGGCACGTGCTCAAATCTGGAAGCGCTCCACCTACTTCAACTTTAATGGGAACGTGTGGCTCTAGTTCAGAACCCCCGCTCTGGTTCTCCGTCTGCGAGCTGATGCTGTCACCCTGAGTACAAAATATGTTTTTATATTAAATGAGTAAACATAAAATACCAAGCGGTTGCGTACTTCTTCGTCATCGGGCAGATTTCCCTAACCGGCGACAGAAGCTGCTGTATCGCTTCCTGCAACTCGCTCTGCGCCCACTCCACGCGTTCTACCAGCACTAGAATTTCCGGTGTGACCTCATTATTCACCCCCTCTCCCCGCTGGGAAGTGTCCGTGAGCCTCACGTGCAACTGACGAACCCCGTCACGCGCGAGAGCTGCTGCCACATCGCGCAACCTGCCAAGAAGAGCCATTTGCCGAGAAATAGGGAGAAATAGGGAGAATGAAGGATATTAAAGTTCTAAGCATTCTGATTGGTTGATGAATTTACCTGACAACCTGAATTTCAGGAAAAGTCATATGCCTCAAAAGGAGCAAAGGTTACCCCGTCCTCGCCCGCTTGGAAGGCTTCCGTCCTGGCCTATTCTTCTCGGCGGGACTTGTCATACACATCCACTTCCTGGGCAACAACATACAACGATTAGGAAAAATTACCACACTTACTGAGCACGGGGCATATTTTTACGGACGTACCTGAACAGCTCCGGTGGCCGGGAAACCCGATACCGAACTTTATCAAGGGGTCGATATTGTGGGGGAAGCCTTCATTTGGCACGTTTGCGTCGGAGAGAAGTCGCATCCAATTCGCCAGAGACTTGACTATCTCACGAAGTTGCGCCCATTCCGATTCAGTGCGAGTGTCTTCAAAATACAGCTCTCGCAATAGTGAGCGAGTTGCACGGAGCAATTCCTCAGCTTTGATGCGCTATTTAGCCTTTACCGCCGCCACAATGTGGGACATGGAGTCCAGAGCAGTAGCCTGTGTGAACTCCTCCATGTCAGCCACGCACTTCTCCATTGGCTCAAGCAATACGTCCTTCAGCCCCGAGTTTTCGGCAGCGCTAGCTATTTGATGAAGGCTGTCATGGACGCGAATGAGCCAGACACGTGTTGGAAGCTTCCCTCGACGAGATGTAACCAGCGAAGTTGCGAGCATTGTGGCCGTCACAAAGGAGGCAGTCACGTCTTTCTTGATACCGTTCGCTTTCAGGCGCTGAAGGAAAAAACTGCTCGAAGATTGCGCCATCTCCTCGACGATCTCGCTCCACTTGGTGAGCTGCTCACTGTTCATATGAGAGATGACACTCTCGGCATCTTTGCCATCCGTACCCGTGTCAACCGCATCCATTGCCTTCTTGGCGGCGTCAGTATACTCGACAAACGCCATGAATCTATAAGTCCTGTGCTGCACAGAGCCTCAGAATCTAGTAATTTGTATGGTGACTGTAGTCACCCGCCCCATTCGATACTTAGTTGAGTTTTGTACAACGCGTTTTCTGCTAAAGGAGCCTGAGCTCCCGCAATCCCAAATCTGCTAAGTGGGGCGAGCACTGCGTTGACGTGTTTGCTGTGCGTGTTCACGACCTCTGCAACTACACCTGTGGCAGCGTAAAGCTGTTAGGTTATGAGCCCAAAGGGAGGCTCTTCTTGTGCCGACGCGAACGTGAACAATGGCGCGCATTCCGTCACTTGCAGAGCTGCTCGCCAGCTCGGCTCTAGCTACCCCTACAAGTCGAAGAATGATGGCTGTCTCGATGCCAGCATCCCTGCTTTCTCCTGGTGCCCAGGCTGGACCGACAGTTCAAGCGACAAGTCTAGCTGGGGGTCCCAATCTGCAGCCACCGTCGCCTGCTGGAACAGTTGCTCCAACAGGAGCGTTTCCCGTTGGACCGCAAGTGCCTCAGTTTGGAGGTGTAGTTCCTCCTCCGAACGTACCTGGGACTCCCCAAGTTCCTGTTGTGAACGCCTGCGTTCCCGCTCTAAACGCTGTGCAACAACCTGTGGTGCTACCGCGCTCGTCGACCGACGTGAACAAAACGGCTCCGAAGATGGAGGGCAGTTTTAACCTGTATCGTGCCCAAGTCAAGGCCTATTTGCACCGGTTCAATGCGTGGGGTCTCGAGGATGGCAGCATCGTTCGTCCTCTTCTAGCTGGTCTTGCTCAACAGCAGTATGACCAGTTGGATTTCTTTGTAAAGGACACCTTGCTCCGTGGCGCAAAGTGGAGGATGCAGAGAGAATGTGTGATCTTCCAAGTGGCAGAGAGATGTGGGAAGATTTGGAAGCTCATCACACGAAACGTGAGTTTTCTAATTATGTCTGGGTTATGAAGAAGTTTTTCTGTGTTCCCGCGAGCAGACAATGGACTCCTGGCTGCAGGAGATTCATGACACTCGTCGTGCTCTGGCGAATTTGGGGCGCGTGATTGATGACGACCTCACGGTGGATGTAATCCTCATGGGTGTGGTACACACTCACCGGGCCGTCGTACGGCAGTTCTCGCGGATCATGGCTCCTGGCTCTCGGCCCACGCTCCAGCAAGTGTTGAACACGCTGAAGTCTGAGACCGAGATGGACGAGATTGTGCGTGATGAGGAAGAAGACAGTGGTAAGATCCTGCACGTGGCTAAGAAATAGAAGACGGACAATAACTCGGGCCAGCAGTACGGAGGGGCCAAGCCAAGTGCAGGTAATGGGGGGAGTAATAAGGGTGGCGGATACAAGCGGCATGTCATTATTGTGGCAAGGAAGGGCACTACCAGAATGTGTGCCGAAAGCGGCAATTTGATCTGAAGCATGGCGCAGCTGGTATGGCAAAAGGAGCTGGAGGCAAGCCCAGTGAGGGTGGAGGCAAGTCCGGTGGCGGTAGAGGCAAGAAACCCTCTCCGAAAGGAGGTCCTCCACAGCCATCACCCCTGGGAATGATTGGACGAGTGGAGAATACGTGTGCTGTAACAAGCACAGGGTCTACTGCTGCTGTATCGCCGAACGGGTCTGATTCTTTGGAGTGGATACTAGATTCAGCTGCAATTACGCACACGTGTGCTGACCGCGAGCTTATGTTGCGTTTTCCGCACTATGTGGAGACTAACACACCACATGAGTCCTGGACGGGTGAAATCACTAGGGAGCATTTGGTATCAGAGTTGGAGACATCCTTTGTATCCACAGAGGATTCCCATGGGAGCGGTGGCGGTGAGCTACGGTACACCCTAACTGGGGATCGCAATGTCCCCGGCTGTCACGTGAATTTGCTGAGTGTAAATGCTTTGGAGGAGGAAGGCTGGCGTTGCGAGTCCAGGTATCCTGAGAATGGTCCCCCTCAGCGTCTGATGTGGATAGGATCAACAGCAATTTTGTTCGAGAAAAGTCATGGGTATTATCGTACTCGAAGTATCCATGCACCTGCTCGCGTCGTTGCGTCTGCTAGGGCTGCTGATAATTCGCTGTTTCAGTGGCACCTTCGGTTCGCACATGTAAATGCTGACGCGTTGCAGAAGGTCTATCGTGATAAACATGTGACCGGAATGCAGATCCCACCCAGTGAGCAGAGTGTAGAAGTCGTCGACTGCTTGAGTTGCACGTTGGCAAAGTCGCGCAGAATGTCCTAGAAAAAGCTGCGGCCACGACGCTCAATCTGCTGCTGCGAAAAGCTGATGTCTGATGTATGCGGCTATGGGGAGAGATCTGCAGGTGGAAATACGAAATTCCAACTCGTAGAAGACGAATATTCTCGCTATGTATGGGGCTTCCTGTTGCAGCACAAATCTCAGAGTGCTGGTAACTTGAAGACACTGATTCAGTAGCTACATCAGCGCGGACGGCGCGTCCGATTTATCGGTTCGGATCAAGGATCTGAGTTCAAGAACGAAGAGCTGAAGAAGTTTACGCGGGAGAACGGGATTCGTCAAGCACGCACAAATACGTACACTCCTGAAGAGAATAGTCTGGTCGAGAAGATGAACAGTGTGATGATGCGCGCTGTTCGCACGATGTTAATGACAACAGGATTGCCGACAAGTTTGCGGGGAGAAGGACTGAAATTTGCAGTGACTGTTTACAATTTCTCGCCTACGAAAGCCAATCAGAGTCGTACGCCGTACGAGCTCTACGAAGGTCGGAAGCCTGATGTGTCTGGATTGCGTGTGTGGGGGTGTGCTGCTACGTATTTTGTACCTACAAAGAGGCGGAAAGGCAAGCACGACCCAACAGCGCGCGAGGCACTTTTCCTTGGTTATCCAGAAGAGACGACGGGTTATCGCTTGCTGGATCTTGTCTCGGGTCGTATTGTGGAATCACGCAACGTGAAGTTTCGCGAGATGTGGACTGATTCAGGTGACTATGTAAGTCAGTTATTGAAGAAGGTCTACGTTTGTGCTAGATCGCATTCGCGAGATTTCTGCGAGGGCGCTACTCCACAATGGTGCCGCGTCCCTGGAGTACTACTTCGAATGACGGGCTAACGATCCAAGAGGCATCGGAGGCAGGTGCGCGGTCGGCTGGAAGGTCGCCGACTGCAGGAGAGCACAGTGAGAGACCTGTCGCGTCGTGGAGCTCTGAGGGAACTTTCACGACAGGCCACGGGGCCAGCGACGACCAGGAGGGCTACGAAGAACAGTTTGCCGTTCCCGATGTGACTCCCGGCAAGGGAGCCGCGAAGGGCCGCGACGTAAGTCGCGGTCCTACTGGTCGGAAGCCTGCAAAGGCCGACGACCAACAACAACCCACCGCCAAGGCCGCCGCCAAGCGCAAGTCGCCCAAGAGGAGGAAGAAGAAGAAGCCGCGCGCGCCGGACTCGGCGGAAGCGTCGCTGTCCAAGCCACAAGGCAAGGACGCGGGGTGCCAGTACACTGTCGAAGAGGTGCGGTACGTCGTGGCGCGTACTGAGCTCTTCCGGCTGCTGGAGCAAGACCCGATCTTGGTCTTCCTCCAGCCCATGCTGATGAGCAACTTCAGGGGCCCCTTCGTCGCGCCGGACTTCGATAGTCTCAAGCAGGAGCCCTTGACGATTCTAGCCGGATCCGTCAAACAAGACGCGACAAGTTTCTCAGCGGGCCAAGAAGCGCCAAGTTCCTCGACGGGCTCAGCCCAGACCTCGACGACCACGCCCTCGCCGCCACCTCGATACCAATCGAGTGTGGAATTCAATAGCAGCTTCGAGTCGCGCAAGCGCAAGTCTCCGGAGAAGCTCTGCGCGCCGGATTCAGCGGATGGACCGCCGGTCTAGGCGAGAGGCGATGACACGGGGAATCAGTTCACCGCGGCAGAGATGAGGTATATGCTTGCTGGAGTGGAGCTGATCCGGCTGCTGGAGCACGATCCGATCCTGCGTTTCATCAAGCCCAACGCGATAAAGTTCACGGGTCCTTTCCGGGTGCCGGTTTTGACATGCTCACGAACGTCACGCGAGCCGCAGGGACACTCTTCGAGATGTTGCACGAATCAAGCTTCAGCTTGGGCATCACCGAGAGGACGGGAGTGTATGACTGGGACGTCGAGTCGTGGACACGTACGATCCGCGGCGTCTTGGGACCGTTGACGGTCCTGGTCGGATCCATCCAACGCAAGGTAACTCCGCCTGGGACGCGCCCAATCTCAACGCAGATGATAACTTCGTCCCAGGCTGAGTCGAGCGTGCATTCCACTTCGAGGTCCAAACCCCGACGCGACGTAGATGACGAACCCGCCGACTTGTTTGACATGGACTTCGGGATGCCGAAAACCACGGCCGCGACCTCAACCACGACTTCACCGGAACTGGACGAGGTTTTCAACCATCTGAGCGGCGCTACGCCCCATGAGGTCACGCCAGCGCGTGTCAAGGTTCTGCCGGATCTGAAGGAAACAATTCCTAAGGCGCTGGAAGAGGTGAGTACGCGCTCTACGATAACTCAGGCGTCGAATACCCATGTCTCTGCGGTTCATGTCGAGCCAAGAAACTCGACGCGAAAAACTCGACGCAGAAAATGTCGACGCGGGACGCGTCGAAGGAGTTGCGCCAGCAAGGACTTGGTAATCACGCCGTGATGTCCGTCGCAGTGCCGGTTGCGACGACATCCAGGCGACCGTTGGGCACGGCGCGGGCCTCTACGACTCCCGAGCAATCGCGTTACGACGCACGAGTGCGGCCGGTCTCACTCGACGCGCTTAAGCAACTCGACCCAGGGCAATCACTCGACGTCCGCCTGCGCTCCAGCCGAGATGCACCGCGCCTGTGGGTCACGCGCAGCAAAACGTGGGTTACAACCATGTTTAAGACTAAGATCGAGCGACAAACATACCTGCGGGTGACCAACGTCACTGACGAGACAATAACGCTCGACGCAGGCACGAACGTGGGTTGGTAGACACCCTCCGATGTGTTTCCGCCTGCGCCCCGCTTCGTGCTGGCGACTAATCCACAGTACCAAGATTGGCAAAACCTTGCGTATGAAGTGACCTGCGACGAGAACGAGACCTGGCGTGACGACGAGCTCGTCTGGTCCATGTATGGATGGCCGACGTACGAAGATCTGGAATTCGACGCGCGTCGAGGTGAGCTAGAGGAAGAAGTTCACGCGGATAGCAAGCCCACATCGTACCCAGTAGTCGCTGTGAAGTCACCAACAGCGGGGCTGACCCGTGCGCCAGCGGCAGAGACGTCGTCGGTGAGCAAGTTGCAGACGCGTGGCCACTCGACGCTGTCGCGCGTGGTGTTGAAGACACGGGTCGACGTAGTAACAAACGTGTGTACGGTCGGACCACGGGTCGCAGAGAAGCGACAATGCGGGGCGCCCAGCTGAAGTGTCGCGAGTCGAACAACCCGTCGAAGATGCGTCGGGCGACGAAGCGCGAGGCGCGCCGTCCAGCGGAAGGTCGCAGCAATGCGACGGGGTGCGACAGTCGAGCGAACGCGCGCAAGTTGCAAAATCCAACAGGGACAAGTGCGACAGTGTGAGATGTGAGGGATGGAACGTCTCCGAACCGTCCCAGAAGCAGTCCCAGAAGTGCGACACCGTGAGACGGACCGAATGTGACACCGTGCGACAGTTGGGCGAAGGGTCGCCCATGAGAAGGACGGAATGTGACACCGTGCGACAGTCGAGCGAAGGATCGAGGGGACGCGACGACGTGAGACTGACCGAATGTGACACTATGCGACGGTCAGTAGCGAGGTCTCAGACCTGCGATGGTATGCGACTTGGGGACAAAGCTGGAAAATGGCGTCTTTGGCGACATTCCGCCCTCGAGACCGTGAAGAACAAGCCGAATGTGAACTTCGACGTGGTCGACGAGGGGCCTGACGGTGGCGGGACTGGAGGACCACCGGGGTCTGCACCAAAAGAGAGGCACCGCGCCATAAACCTAGATCGATTGGTCAACCCTGAGCAAGATGCTGGTCCGAATTGCGCGATCTATCGAAGTGGCGGGTACGCCGCGGCGGGGCGAGTGGTGCGGTTTCCTGTGGACAAGCCCGAATGCCACGGCGAGCCACCTGGAGGATTGCTGGCGAAGGTACCAGCTGTCACTCGACGGATGTCCAGTGAACTCAATAAGTCTGCGGTCCTGAAGATGGCGGGCAAGGCGGGCAACGAGCCACGCAGCCTGCAGCCACACCGACTTCGAACCTGTGACGCACTACACGTACAACCGCGTTACGGCGTACGTCGAGGCAGGAACACGGGGCCTGACGCACTTGTTGGATGCGTACGACGAGACCAAGAAGACAGCGCGACGAATAACTCGTCGCAGATCCGGTGCGCGGAGACGATGCACCGCCGAGAGGTCACCGGGGAATCGGATCCTGGGAAACGCGGTCAACGCTCCGCGGCGGCCGGTTGCACGGGCGCGATGCACAGGGCGAAGGACGGTGCCGACTCGGCGAAGACTCAGGTGGGGGTCCTCCAGCCTACTACAGCGCAGAACGCGTCGAGCTCGAGCGCGACGAGGGTGCCAGACCCACGTTGCACGAGGGACAGTCGCGCTGACGCGAGACGCGGGACGAGCGACGGTGACGCCAGCGCAGCAGGGGCAGGGGTGTTTGTCATACAGCCGGCGGATCACTCGCGAGAAGACATCCGACCCCGGACGTTAGATCAAGAAACAGCGTCACCTGTCAACCTCGTCGCGGAAGATTGCGACGCGAAAAAAACTCGACGTGGAAAATCTCGACGCGGAACGCGACGCGAAAAATCGCGACGAGGGAAACTGCGACGAGGGAGACTACGACGAGGCCAACCCTGTCGTCAACGTGCCGGAACGAGACCCGCCGACGCCGGAGAACATGGATTTGGGGCGCGGGACGGCATACGTCCTCGTGGTGACGATGCACTCGGCTTCTACACGCGCGACGAACCCCAGAGGCAGAGCTCCAGGTGTACTACAAGAGCTGGCTGCTCAGAACCCGTCGAGCCTGGTCAAAATCCCTCCCAGAGCGGCTAAAGGCGCAGAGAGTCATGACCCCGGGCATTTTACGGGGCGCGGTGCGCTGGACGAAGACGCGTCTTGCGTCGGATCTGGTTGTGCATTCAAGTTTTTTGGTGGCGTGTGGGTCGCAACGAGAAACACGTCACGCGACGGTGCCAAGGCAAAGCGCCTAGGGCTATGCGTTCGACAGCACCGCCGACTCGCGCAGGTGAACGCGCTAGAAGTCGACCAAGGTGTACACGTCGCAGATCGGACTCGGGGCGGAGTCGCGACGACGGACACGGCTGAAGTCAATTTGCCGATACGGTATTGCTTGGATTGCGACAGCCCCGGTCTCCCCCACGAGCTTAAGCCCATGTCCGACGCACTGGCAGGACGCGAGCTACAACGTCATGAGTGCAACGCGACGGGAAACTCGTCGCAGACCCGGTGCGCAGAGACGCTACACCACCGAGAGGAGATCGTCAGGAAACCAGATGCCACGAAACACGGTCAATGTCGTGCGACGGACAGTCACGCTGAAGCGAGACGCGGGGCGATGGGAAGTGCCCCCGACGCGGCGAGAGCGCAGGGGGGTGGCATCCAACCCGGTGCAGCGCGGAACGCGTCGAGACTGAGCGCGACGAGGATGTCAGAAGTTCTAAATCGCGCGACGGACAGTCACGCGAAAGTGAGACGCGGGGCGATGGGAAGTCACCCCAACGCGGCGAGAGCGCAGGCAGCCGGCAACGAGCCTGCTGCAACGAGGAACGCGTCGAGCCCGATCAGGAGGCCTGTTGCAGTGTCGAAATACGTGGAGGGTACAGCCCTTAGAGTGCGATGACGCGATAAACAGAAACCCACCTTGCGTCGAGGCTGATTGGGAATTCGAGGTTGCGAGGAGCGTGTCGGACGCCGCGAGTGACTCGTCGCGCTACGGACCAGAGTCGACGCGCCGAGGGATATGCATCCTTCAGAACTGCCGACTCGCGCAGGTGAACGTGCTAGTAGTCGGCCAAGCCGGGGACGACGCAGATCGGACCCGGGGCGACGTCGCGGCGATGAACAGGGCTGGAGTGAATTCGTTGATGTCATATTGCTGGGATCGCGGCAGAATGGGATCTGCCTACAGGCTAGAGCTCATGCTCGACGCTGTGCCGCGAGACGCCCCGTGTGTGAGCACGTACGCTGTACGTCTTGAGACGGGCTGCACGCCTTGTCAATTTTCGGTCAAGATCGTTTCCAAGTTGAGGCCTGTGAGCGCTATGATCAATGGGACGACCCCGTCGAACGAGCCCGCCGACTGCCGCGACGAGATGCCGCTAGAAGTGAGCCGGGACACTAGTACTGTAAAGAGCGACGGCGTTGCGTACTCGAAGGTCAGGGACAAGCACGCCGAGACGGTTCGCGTCGTGGTAGACTTGGCGCTCTCCTTTCGGTTCGCGCGCGACCGAGATCCGCGGTGTACGTCAAGGGCGATAATCGCCGTCGGAAACTACCGCACCAGTGCGCCGAGCCCAAGCGACGGACGCTACAGATCGGACCGCGTGCGCAGATGCGGCGCGTCAGGTTGTGCGCCAAAGCGCAAGGCAGGCCAAACGAATCGCGTCGCGAGACGAGTAACTCGCTTTACCAACTGTCTTTCGACTTCCGCACCTCCAAGCAAAACCCCGTTGAAGAGTTTCCGTCACACGCCGCGACGTGTTTGGCGGTGTCAACGAACGGACTGTTTGACTCCACCGATACGTGTTTACTGGAGCACAGCCTGACACTCGCTCTGGAAGAGGATGCTTCCGAAGGGGAGAAGTCCTTGGAGCTGCATGCCGGTCGGGCTTCCCGACA